TTTTTTTCTTTACCTTCTTCATTATTCGATCCTTGATAATATTTCTGATCCATCTGATTTTTGAATTTGTTTGTCGGCTATTCTTACAACTTTTTTTAAAGTGAAAAAAACGCTTCTTCATCTTCATTTGGGTTAAAATAGATTTTTTTTTCTTTTCATTTATTCATCCAATGGATTTATTTTTCATCTTTTTTTTTCATAAAAAAATCTTTATCAGCTGATGATGGTGAATATTTAGCCTCGATCATGATGATGAACTATTCAAACGAAATGATGATAATAATCTCGAGAAAAGAAAGAAGAAGAAGAAAGAAACATATCTATCTTTAGATATTTTTCCAACCGAAAAAAGTATCCATTTTTTGAAATAGAAACTTGAAACTTTATTTTTGGTGATGATCAACAAACAAAACAAAACAAAACAAAAATTCAGANTTTTTTTTCATAAAAAAATCTTTATCAGCTGATGATGGTGAATATTTAGCCTCGATCATGATGATGATGAACTATTCAAACGAGATGATGATAATAATCTCGAGAAAAGAAAGAAGAAGAAGAAAGAAACATATCTATCTTTAGATATTTTTCCAACCGAAAAAAGTATCCATTTTTTGAAATAGAAACTTGAAACTTTATTTTTGGTGATGATCAAAACAAACAAACAAAACAAAAATTCAGAAAAAACAAAGCGATTTTCTTGACAAAGATCTTTCCTGTGTTGACTATCATCATCATCATCTTATTTCTTATTGAGATTCGGTTGAGTTCTGGTAAAAGTTTTTTCTTTTTCAAATCATCATCATCATCATTATTATTATCTTTGAAAATCTTTTTATAAAATATATCCAAATATAAATTCAAATCGTCATCGTTTTTTTGTTTTGTTGTTGTTTTTTTTTGCCTCCAAAAAAGATTCATTCATCCAGTTCACACACACTGTCCTTACCATGAAGTAAATAACTTTATTTTTAAGTAGATTCGTAAATGAAAAAAGTAGCGAAAAGTTTTCAAGTTTTCCATAATAGTGGAAAGAAAGAAAACTTTGACATCGAACAGTTTCGATTTTCTTATTGCTTACATTTTTACATTGGATAATTCAAACATTCACCATTGACACATTGAATTGATTGGTAGACAATGAGAAAAGAAAACACATTCGATTCGATTCGATTGTTGATTGACCTTCTCTTGTAAAACACAAAACAACAACAGTAGTTTTTGAATGAATGAAAGAAAGAAAATCCCTGAATCCGTTTATTTACCTCCATTTTTTTTTGTCATTATTTTTCACACTGAATATTAATGATTTTATTGATTTGACTTTGCTGTTTTTGTTGTTTGGCTGTCTTGGATGTTGAATGTTTGCATGTTTCAAGTTCATCAAAGTGAATATCATCATCAATAATGTTCCGTTATCATTCAATGATGGTCAATGATGATGATTAGTTTCAAGTGAGGACAAAGAGAGAAAAATTGTCAATGTTTTATTGTCAGGCCGAAACATAGCTGAAACAAGTTTTCAATATTGAATTGTACAGGGATGATTCGAATCCATATCAAAGATAATCGGATAATGTTTTAAATTTAGAAATTTTTGTCCAGAAAAAACAAAATTCTTCTCAGAAAATACCCGACGCCCTTTCATAAATCATCTTATAAATTCTTTTTCAATTTCATTTCGTTTTGTCAAAGTTTTTTCTATTGAAAATCCCTTGATAAATTCATTCATTTCATTTTTTCGATCTTTTTTTCTGGTTTGAAACTAATCAATCTGTCATTAGGCCAATCATCTTTGATTGTTATTGATGATCAGGATGATGGCAGCAAATGGTGTAGATAATAATAGATCAGTTCAGAACAGTTGTAACTAGTTTTTTCTAGTTTCAAAAAATTTTCAATTTAATTTTTTGAGAAATCTTTTTTTTTTCTTACGAATTTTTATCGACAAAAAAAATAGGACAAAATTGAGAAACTTTCCGGAATATTTTTTTTTCTACCGAAAAGTTTCTTGAATTTTTTTGATTATTCTGTTTTAGCAAAATCACGATGATGATGATGATACCTGTTGCTTTCATTTAAACTTTCATTTTTTTTTTTTTTTTGGTTACCTGCGCATTTCAATTTTTTTTCCCCGTTTTGATCGATTTTTTTTTAATTATGATGACCGTTNTAGGACAAAATTGAGAAACTTTCCGGAATATTTTTTTTTCTACCGAAAAGTTTCTTGAATTTTTTTGATTATTCTGTTTTAGCAAAATCACGATGATGATGATGATACCTGTTTCTTTCATTTAAACTTTCATTTTTTTTTTTTTTTTGTTACCTGCGCATTTCAATTTTTTTTCCACGTTATGATCGATTGATTTTCAATGATGATGACCGTTATTTTTTTTTTGTTTGCCAAAAAAAGATTTTGGTTACCTGGTTTTTTTTTTCGTTTGTTTGGGAATGAGAAAAAGGTTTGGTTAAACTAACCAAACTTTTTCTCACACAAACGCTCTTCACAATGATGAAACCAAAAAAAGGGAGAAAGGGGGAAAAACGTAAAAAAAACCAAGAGTGTATTCATCCAACGACACACAGGTTGAACAACAGGTTGAGCTAGATTCATTCGACCAAGCAACAACAACAACGACAATCATCATGATATCTCTTTTTTTCTGCCATCATCATTCTCTGTTGCTGTTGTTGATGATTTTCTAGTACACACACCACCTGATGATCTATTTTTGGTTATAAAAAAAAAAATCGACGAAACGAAAATGAACTAAAAATAATAACGACGACGACGATGATGAACGCAAAATCCCTTGAAAATCCTTGGAGCTTTACCTGTTTTTTCATTCATTCATTCGGGTTGTTGTTTTGTTTTTGTTTTCGAGAAAAAAAAATAACAAAATTAATTTGAGAAACTGACAACGAAATCTCTTTCTCTGTGTGGTGATGATGATGAACAATTGATTTTGATTTTTTGAAGAAATTGATTTATTTGATTGAAAAAATCCCAAAATGAATGGAATCCAGTTTTTTTGGGTGTTTTTTTTTCAGCCAGAAAATATTGTCACACAAATTGATCGAGGCTATTTTCTCTCTCTTTCGAATTCACTTTTTGGCTTTCACATTTCGGGTTTGTTCGGGTTGGTTTAGTTCGGTTTGATTTGGTTTTCATCAAATAAATTCTCTTTTTTTTCGGGTTTCTCTCGCGCAAGAGAGAGAGAAGATGATGAAAAAAGTGAGATGGGTGAAATGAGAACGACCGAAACAAAAAAGAAAACCAAAAAACTTATTTTGGATGCCATCCATTTGGTTAGTTTGGTTTCTTTCTTCGTCTTCATCATCATCATCACTTAGTGAGTTTAAAATGACTAAAATCGTTTGATATCGATTGATTCATTTTTTTGATTTGAAACATTCAGTTTAATCAATCAATGAATGTGAATGAATCATCCATCCACTGAATATGATTTTTTCGTTTTTTGTTTTATTCAAGATCAACTCATTTCGCTGATTATTTATAATGATGATGATGATGATCGTCATCAATGACGATGTAAAAAAAATCAAAAATCAAAATTTCTCTTTATTTAAACAACAAAGCAAAACCAAAAAAAAAATCTATTCCTGTGCCATCATCAGCATGTTTCTCTCTCTCTTCAAAATCATTGATTTTCTCTTTCGTTTGGTTTGGTTTTCTCTTCGGATGAAAATAGAAAAAATTGATTTGATGATGATGACGAATGAAATTTTCTTCTTTGAAATATAAATTTAGATAATTGTTGGTGTGTCATGTGTGTGTGTGTGTGAATGTTTTGATCTAAATTTTCTATTTTTGATCATTTTTTCATCTTTCTCTGTGTGTGTGTTGTATGAATATTTAGCCAATTTTATCATCATTGTGTAGCTTCTACAATCGACAACTGACCAAATGTGAAATCAGATGATGGAAATTGTGATGATTTGAACGACAACAGAAAGGATTGACAGTTTTGTATCGGTGTTTTTTGTTTTTGTTTTTGTTTTTCTTGGTCTTTCATTCATCTCTATTCATTTATCAATCAATCAATCAATCAATTCAAACATTATCATCATCATCATCATCAATTAGTTAGTAAAATTAATTAATTTCTAGTTCATCCTAGTCTATAGTGATATAATTTAAATTTAAAAGTGAGGTTCGAAATTTGCTACTTTTTCTTCCCTGTTGTTGTTGTTGAAAAAATCTTGTCAAATTCTTCCCAAAATAACATTTATTAAGGTAAGTTTTTTTTTCCAATTAAAATCAAACATCATCAAGAAATACATGTGCTTCATTGTGAAAACAAAAATGTAGCTGATAATGTAGCAGAATTTTTCAACAAAAAAAACTGCTACTTCTGCTTCTGTTTGATGCTTGTTGTTGGTAATTATCAACGACCGACAAATGACAATGACAAAACTGAAAAACCAATGAAAAAAAACTGAAAAATTTCATCATTGATTTTTCTCGAAAAGTTTCGCAATTTTTTTTCACTAAAAGTTTCCCAAAATGAAGAAGAATATTCTTTTATTGTCATCAAAGAAACATTGTTACTTGATGCAAAAACATTGTTATTATTTTTTCTAACTAAATGTGTTTGTTTGTATCTATGCTGTACTGTTTTGAAATTCTTTTTGACGTCTGGTTTTTTTTTTCTATTTCTCGAACTAAAAAAAACAAACTTGCATCATCGCGCGTCTACATTTTTTTAAAACATATGAAACAAAAATGATGATGATGATAATCAACCAGACAACCAAAAAAAAAACGAAACGCGCAAGTGAACATTTTGTACACACTTACCAAAAATGTATACCACGCACTTTTTCAAACGAGTGTTGTTGTTATGGTATGCTATGTGAATAAGTAAATACGGTGTGTTTTGATCATAACATCTTTTGTTGTTGTTGTTGTTGTTGTTGTGATGATAATGATGATCGTCGTTAGTCGTTCGTCGTCGTCGTTGTCGTCGGCAGAGTAGTATAAATATAAATGATTTGATTACATTGATTTTTCATTCATTTCAATTAGAAAATTTTTTATTATTATTCCATGTGATTTTTAGCTGGCTTGCCTGGCTTGCTTGCTTGATTTCGATTTAGATTTGTTCAGTGTTGAACGAGTTTCATCATTTCATTTTATTTGAATGTTTTTCTTTTTTTGTTGTTAGAATTGGAATGAATTTTTCAATGTGATTCTTTCCGAAAGGATTCCCCTTCATCTTCGATCTCTATTCTCGTTTCGTTTCGTTTTTCCAATTGTATCGATTAACATTGCATTTCATCATTTGACAGAAAACACTGACACTTGTTGAATAGCCAAAAAAATATTCTGTTTGTTTCAACAAGTGAAAAATTTCAGTATAAAATTGCTACAAAAAGTATTTTTTTCCCCAAAAAAGAAAGAATCATTTTATTCAGAACAGAACAAAAAATGCAAGCCGCAGCTTGTCTAAATTCAACATTAATCTGTTTGCTACATAATCATCATCATTTGAATCATTCATCATTGTTTTCAAAATTTGCTACAAATGTAGCGGTAAATTGATTGAATTTTTTTGTTGTAGCGTTTTATTTTTTTGCTACATTATTCTGATGATTGCGATTAATCAATATCTTTGTTTTTTCTTTACTTTTTAAATCAATTTAGAATTCAAACGGATCGACAATTATACCTGCATCAACAACAACAACAAGTTCACATCAACATAAACCGCAACATTCAAATCCATCATCATCATCGCAACAACCCTTGAATAAAATGTCTGGCGGAATTCGTCGTACGGTTAGTGGCGGTAGTTCAACTGCTGCTGCAACAAATCATCATTCAACAGCCGCAGCAAATCTTGCTGGTCGTAATAATATAACATCATCGACATCGACATTATCATCTTCCAAAAATGTTAATAATACTCAATCATCACCAACATCATCGACAACGATAATAACCAATCATTATACGAAAACTAATGGTGGTGGTAGTCATAATCATCAAAAATCATCTGATTTACATAAAAAATTGGATCGAAGTTATAGTGAACCGGCTGAAAAACAACAAAAGCAAAATGCTTTAGCATCTCAACAATCGCAACAACAACAACAACAACAATCATCATCAAGATATAAAACAGAATTATGTAGAAGTTTTGCTGAAGTTGGTCATTGTAAATATGGTGATAAATGTCAATTTGCACATGGTGATGAAGAATTACGTACAATAACAAGACATCCAAAATTTAAAACAGAAAATTGTAAAAGTTTTCATTCAACTGGTTTCTGTCCATATGGACCAAGATGTCATTTTATTCATAATAGTGATGAATCAAAGAAAAGTTTAACATCATTATCAACGATAATTGGTAGTGGTTCAAATTCTCAACAACAGCAACGTTTATTTGATCCATTACCAATTGGAACGATGATTACTACAAATAATCATAATCATCAACAATTAATTCAATCACATTCAAGTGGTCCAAGTTTTGGCAATGGTGGTGGTTTATCGTTGATTTCAAATCAATTATCATCATTAGGTTCGACAAATATTAATTCAAATATGAATATTATTGGTGTTGGTGTTAATGGATCAAATCTTGTACGACCAAAAGCATTATCATTAGGTAGCTATAGTCTTGGATCATCGGGTGAAATATCATCACCAAGTAGCCAAAGTGGTAGTCCAACATCATTGAATAGTTTTTTTAGTGAAGAAACTGCATTTTCATTAACAAATCAATTGAATGGATTACAATCAAATAATTCAAGATTATCATCATCAAACAATTATACAACATTAAGCTCAAAAACATTTTCATTTTCACCAGACAGTGCATTCGAAGCTTTTAATCCCAATAGTAACAATAATCATCATCAAAATGTTGCCACCAATTTAAATAATTTTGTTAACGGAAATCAACAACAACAGAAAACATCATCATCAATTTTTATTGATAATAATAATCATGGTGGATGTAATTCAAATTTTTCATCACCAGAACCATTTTGTTCAATTACAAATCATAATAATAATAATGCCATTGATCAAACAACAACAAATAGTGTTATTTCACAATTGTTTGGTGTTGGTAGTGGTGGTGGTGGTAGTTCTTCTTGTGATGGATCATCATTTGATGATGATAATCATCATTTATTTGATATGATTAGTGGAATGTCAACAACAACAACAACATTTAATGATCATCAAAAATCATCATCAATTTGGATTGGAAATTCATCACAACAACAACAACAAATGTTATTCTATCCATCATCACCCGAATCGCCTGTCGATAGTGTTTCATCGGAAATTGAAGCTTTAAAATTGGGTGAACAACAACATCAGCAACAACATTTACCACCATTATTATCATCATCATCATCACCATTACAAAAACAACATCCACCACTAGCATCATCATCATCAATGATGACGTCAATTGATTTTAGTCCAATATCGAGTTCATTTTCAACGACAACAACATCTTCAATGTCATCCGCATCATCATCATCATCAAATTCATCATCACCACCAAATAGCAGTGGTTATAATAATTGTTCATTCGATACATTTACATTTTTAACAAATAATAATGTTGGTCAACATCAATTATCATCAAACCAACAACAAAAATCACCAACATTGAATCATCAACATCAACAAACTTCGGGTATCCTATGTGGTGGTAATGGTGGTAGTTGTTCATCAAACATTCCTCGTTTACCAACATTTACAAAAATCGTTTCGGCCACCAATAACAAATAAACTTTTGGCCAATTTGAACGATGAACAAAAAAATAACGAAAAAAAAATCTCAAGAAAAAAATTTAACACCAAAGTATCATTCATCAATCATATCTCATATAAAATAAACATTTTTTTTGGTAAAAATTATTTTTGGAACGGATTTGGTCCTTTATTTTTTTTTCATTCAACACATGGATTCTTCATCACCTTGTTTATTGGTTTTGGATCAACAATTATCATCATTTCATTTCATTTCATCATCAAATTCTTTTTTTTTTGGGGGTCCAAAGTTTTTTGTATGTGTGTGTATCAGTGTGTATGGTTCTATCTAATCTAAATATTCATTCATATTATTATTATATAACTTATTCATAAAATATTTGAAACTTTTTCTTTCGCAAAAAAACAAAAAACATGATATATGTGTGTGAATTTATGGATATATATGGTCAATAATTTATCATTTGAAACATCATCATTTTGTTATTAAAAAATTTCTTTTTTTTGCATTTTTCTTTATTTAAAAAACAAATTCATGAATTTTTGTATTTTTTTCATTCTTCACTCTCACTCACCTTTGAAACAAACAAAACAAAACAACGTATTTATTCTTTCAAAACAAAAAACAAACATTGAATAAACAGAATTTTGCCTTGATTATTATTTCCATATTGGATCTTTTCATTCATTCACTTACAATATGTGTTATCATTTCTCACTTTCATTTTGTTATATTCTGATGTATTGGATGTGTATTTCTTTCTTTCTTTCTTGTGTATAAAAATTAACATATTTGGAACAATGAAAAAAAATGGAAACCTTGTTTGTTTTTTGTTATCAATCAAATGATGATGGATTCTGATTCAGTTGTTGTTGTTGTGTGATTTTAGATCAGAATCAATTGATTGTCAATGTTACTTATTTTTTTAAATTAATTAACCCTTTACACATCTGATGATGAATTATTAATCTCTCTCGCTCTCTCTTATCGAATTTCTCCTATGGAATCTCTCTATTCATTTCATATTATCATCATTATTATTTTGTTTTTGCTTTACACACACTCACCATACACCATACACACACACACAATAATCATTTATTTTCATAATAATTTATATATGATTCACACCTGAACACACACCTGAGAATCTTATTTATATTTTTTATTTTTGGAAAAAACCACACACACACACAAAAACTTTAATGTCACATCGATGATACACTGAAGTTGAATGAAACAAAAAAATTATTTAAAAATTCACCACACAGCTATTTTCGCCAGATGAACAAAATTACAGCAACGACAGCAAAACGAATTACAGAATTACAGAATCACCTGAGGATCATCTGAATTTGCAAAAGAATTTTCATTTTTTCGCTACAAATAATGATGATTATGAGAAAACATTTTTTGTTACAACATTCGCTTGTGAAAAATTAACTTTATTGATTGATTAATTTTTGATTTTTGATTTAATTCATTGAATGATTATTATTATTATTATTATTGATTATTATTATTGATTTATTATTGATTGATTTATTATTGATTGATTTTTTCAGGAAACAATAAAAAAAAATTTTTAATATAAAAAAAGATCCATTTGTTTTTCGTTGGTTTTGTTTTTCCCAAGCAGCCTGTCGCAAGCAGCTATGAATACGTGAATTTCAAACGAATGACAACGACGACGGATGGAATCTAATTTCATTTGGATTTTTTTTTAACTGTCTGTCTATGTTTATGTGTTTACTTTATGCTAAATGAAATGAAATAAACAGCAAAAACAAACTGGGAAAAAATAAAAAGAAAATAAAATTTTTATCATCAAATTTTAGATTTCCATTTTTGTTTTTTCTTTTTTCCATTTCCATTTTCGTCTTCATCCACCACCACCACCAACAAATTCAATCAATCAATCAATCACTGTGTAATTGATAATTCACCAAACGAAGAAGATAACGAAACGATTTTGATATGAGAAAATGATCCTAATCATAATTCATTCGTTTAAAAAAAAACTTTATTTTTCGCTTTATTGGGAATCAACTGACATGATCGACCGACCGAGTTGATTTTTTGGTCTATTGATCTAATTTCCTCTTTTAGTTTTTTTTTTTTTTTGATTCAAACATCTTCTTCTTCTTTATCATCATAGACAAAAATATTACAGGATCAACTTGTTTGCTGCATTCATTTTCTTTATTTATTTATTTATTTATTTATTTTTATATGTTTTTCTGAAAATCTTTGCTATTTTCGGTTGATTAAAT